GAAGAATTGCAATGTGACGCTGAGGCAAAAGTTGTTTAGTTTAGTTTTCTGCATAACATAGTTTTTGTTCAGATTTTTTTTGTTTTTTTTGTTTTTGTTTTTGTTGGGACCTTCCCTTGTCCTTGCACGGACCGGCCACCCGGGACCCAGGCGGCCCGGTTGGTAGCCTAGCTAAGTATAAAAAAAATAAAAAAAAAACTCTGGGCTCTATTTTTCGGCGAAAGCAAAGAAGGGCCCAAGGCCTAGAGATAGGTACTTAAAAAACGACTAAGTATACAAAGAAAGAAGAGAAAACTCTGGGCTATATTTTTCGGCGAAAGCAAAGAACGACCAAGGGCATAGGATTAGGTACCTAAAAAACGACTAGGTATTTAAAAAAATAAAACTTTGGGCTCTATTTTTCGATGAAAGCAAAGAAGGGCCTAGGGCCTAGGGATAGGTACCTTAAAAATGACTAAGTATACAAAGAAAAAAAAAAAAACTGGGCTCTATTTTTCGACGAAGGCTAAGAAAGGCCCAGGGCCTAAGGGTAGGTACAAAAGAAAAACGACTAAGTAAAAAAAAAAAAAAAAAAAACTTTGGGCTCTATTTTTTGGCAAAAGCAAAGAAGGGCACAGGGCGCAAAAATAGGTATATAAAAATCGACTAAGTATACAAGGGGAAAAAAAAAAAACTTAGGACTCTATTTTTCGGTGAAAGAAAAAAAGGTCCCAATGCCTAGGGATGGGTACCTAAAAAACAACTAAGTAAAAAAAAAAAAAAAAAAAATGGGTTATATTTTTCAGCGAAAGCAAAGAAGGGCCCTAAGCCTAGGGATAAGTACCTACAAAACAACTCAGTATACAATGAAAAAGAAGAAAACTCTGGACTCTATTTTTCAACGAAAGCAAAGAAGGGTTCTAAGCCTAGGGATAGGTACCTAAAAAACGACTAAGTATACAAGGAACAAAAAAAAAACTCCGGACTCTATTTTTCGTCGAAAACAAAGAAGAGTCGATGACATAGGGATAAAAACCTAAAAACCGACCAAGTATACAAAGGGGAAAAAAAAAAAACTATGGGCTGTACTTTTCGTGAAAGCAAAGAAGGGCTCAGGGCTTAGGGATAAGAACCTAAAAAACGTTTAATCAAAAAAAAAAGGAAGAAAACTCTGGACTCTATTTTTCGGCGAAAGCAAAGAATGGCCCAGAGTCCAGGGATAAAAACCTAAAAAACGACTAAGTATATGAAGGATATCTCACTTTTACATATGTGTTGTGACAAATTTCTTTGTATAAACACCATTAGGATTCTTCAAATATTTTAAGGTCGGTTAACCATTTGTCTACCTCAAAAAATGGGTCGGGGAAACTCGTCGGAGAGACACCCATTCACCATAACCATGGACGTGACCTTAGTATACGTGGCAAAACTTCAATTCGAGAAGAGCCAACCAAAACCCATTTTGGCTAATGTGGTGGAAACCAAGGTCTACTCGACTTTGTCAGAGGCCTTTTCCATGTCGAGTAGCAACACAACGACCTTTTTTTTTGTTCTCTAGGCCAATTACTTCCAATGCTTGTATGATCATGATAATGTTTTCAAAATTGATCTCCCTTTGACAAACGCCCCTTGTTCCCATTCTACCGGATTTGGAAGAACTGTGGCAAGCCTAATTGCTGAAGCTTTCGCAAGTATTTTGTACGCTACATTCAAAATAGAGATCGTCCCATTTTTTTGTAGAGGAGAGAGATCACGCCCTTCACCAAATTGGGTGGTAAGGAGCCACTTTCCAAGGCTCTGTTATAAATCTGGCACAAAATGCCCCAAAATCGTCCCATCAGCGAAGGAACAATTCCAAAGGGAGGCCGTCAATCCCTAGGCATTTGCCCAATGCCATTCGTTTGTCCGCTCGAAGGAACTCTAATTTCGTGAGAGGGGCTTCAAGACTGACTCCGGAACTGGCCCCAGTACAAGCTTTGGTCTTGTCCCAGAATCGAGACCCAACCAAAAGGTCAAAGTGAAAGTGATCATACGGACGCCAGGTAGATACAATGTCCCGAAAGTATTCTAGTGCATAAAAGCACATGCTCTCTGTGTCGGAAGCTGCCGCCGCCTCTAATTCAAAAGGGTGGATAGGTTCCCTAACTAGTGACTTCGTTTGTTTAAGAATAAAAAAACAAAAAGTTAGCTTCGTCATTCAATCATAACCGACAGCGCCCCATAGGTTTAGCCATTCAAGCCAGTCAGTCTGTTTCTGCAATTCCAATGGTTCCAGTTGACATAACGCCTCTTTCCTTTTCTCTGACCAAGAGGAGTCAGGGAAAGGGTCTTGACTCATCTGCAATTCAACCATTTCCACTTCCTTCTGACATTTTTTCTCCTTCCATTGTCTACTTGTCGCTTTCATTCGTGAAACGACCATCAAGGCTTCCTTCACTATCCCCAGCTCAGCCTCCGCCCATAGATCATCTAAGTCAAACAGACCTTCAACATGTTGCCATTTTACCGCTTGGGTGCTCACCCACCTCGTTATCCCTTTGTCTTTCAGATTTGCGACATTGAGACGAAAGGGAGGACATGCTCTTTGAATTTGATCTCTTGCCACCCTCCCTCGCGATTCAAACGTCAGTCTTCTGCAGCGCGGCCTTCGAGAGGTCGTTCCAACCTATCGGATTTAATCTTGTGGATTCAAACTCAGGTCTGTATTTCAAAATTTTGTGGTCCGTGATTGGTTAAAAAAAATTGCGCGATTTGGTATTGGCCGCCGTGCAATTGTTTTTTTTTTTTTTTTTTTTTGGCCATCGGATGCATTCATCGTGCTATGTCATTTTTTAGAACGTGTCAAACACGTTCTATTTTCTTTCTTTCCATTTCTCTATTTTTCTTTTGGATTTTATGTTTCTAAGTGCACTAACCCAGTGTCCTTTGGTACATCCGTTAAAATTGAAACGATACACAGAAGATTGGCATGGCCCTTGCGCAAGGATGACACGCAAAAAAAAAAGAAAAAAGAATAGTCCGAATGAAAAAAAAGAAGTGCACTAACCCAGCAACACGACCGCGGTCATTCGCACATGACTTTCGTTGTGTGAAACGCTCTCCCCGAACACTCACAATCCCCGACACATTCTAGAGAGAGAGAGAGAGAGAGAGAGAGAGAGAGAGAGAGAGAGAGAGAGAGAGAGAGAGAGAGAGAGAGTATGCATAGTACAAATGGTATACATGCGAAACACATTTACTGCCTTTGGATGGAATAAGATACTGAGAGGGCATGAGTGTTAGCCGAACGCTTGGCAAACTTTGGCATGTTCACGGTGGCGGCGATGTAAGTGAGGACGATGATGATGACGGTGATGATGGTGATGATGGTGATAATAGTGATCATGGTGATTAGGAGGAGGAAGAGGACGACGAAGAAGAGATGGAAAACGATGATGGGGAGATGGAGGAGGAGGTTTGATCTGGAATGCTGGACGAGCGATCGCCGCGATCCTCTGCAGGATTCTGGTACTCAGGAGGGCAGTTTACATGGCGAATACGCTAGAGGGTAGCTTGGAGGAGGGAGCAGAGGTGCTTGGGATTGAGGGAGACAAAAATCATGGCAGTGTATCTTTCGTTATTATAAAGGAGGATTCATTCTCATTTTGTACATTTGGTGAGGCTCCGTCGAGGCTACCACCTCGTTTCCTTTCGCGTGGCTCTCTGTCGAGGCTACCACCTTGTTTCCTTTCAACTGCCACCCGCCCCGCTTCACAAAACACCCACCTCGATCGGCCTCAGCCCTATCGTCTTTTTCGACCACCACATTTCGACCCCCTCACAATGCCACAACCCCCACCAGCTACGCCCAAAAATAACAGCCTTCGCCCGACCGCACCCTTCTGCTCACCCTCTCAACCTCCTGACAACCGCCGAATGACCGGCTGGTCTACAGCACCCTTCTGCTCACCCTCTCGCCCCCTTCTGCTCACCCTCTCTATCCCCACACAACCGCCCAACAACAGATAGGTCTCACAACAACAACAACGACAGCACCCTTCTGCTCACCCCCTCGACCCCCTCACAACCGCCCAATGACCGGTCGGTCTGACGACAACGACCGCACCCTTCTGCTCCCCTTCTCGACCCCCTTTAATAAACCCCTCATGCCGTTCCGGACATTTGCCATGCGGTAACCCTGCCACGCGACAAATGCAAGCGGTATGGCGTAGCCTCCTGGCCAGGAGTGCGAACAGGTGCTTTTTCAAAAAAATGAAAAAAAAGAGCCCCAGCTGAAGGTGGGCCCGGACTATTTAGGCGGTATGCGCGCCGCGCGGGTTTTGAACGGCGGGAAGAAAAACCGCCATTTCTGGATTGGTTAGAGCAGTAGGGGAGGGCGGGGGCGGGACTATTCGTAACTTGTAATCTTCGTTTTTTTTGAACTTTTGCGCTTGGGCGGCATTCGTCGCGACTATCGCGGACGTTTTTTTGATGCGATGGTCTTTCACTGAGAGAAGTGTGCGATCGTCTTGCCTTGAGAGAGGTGTTGGGGTGTTTCCATTTTTCATTTGTTCGGCGGGAGTGTGATTGTGGTTGGACTGGTTGTGAAATAAGGTATCGGTGGCAGCTGCTTGTGCAGATCGACGGTCGGGATGTGGCAGTTCCAGCTTGCTGCGCGGAATGTGTCAGCTCCAGCTTGCCGCGCGGGGATGGTCGGACTGTTCTTCCCCCTGGGGGTCTCTGTAGGGCGAACGCACTGTTAGCCCCGTGTGGCATACCACGTGTCTCGTGATGCTCATTGGCAGAGTGGTTGGTAGGTAGAAGGTTCGTTGGGTTGCAGTTATTAGTGGGAAGGTTAACTCTGAACTCAATTGGATAGGTAGAATGCATATCGTCATCATCGTCACTACCTAGGCCAGGGCCAGGCAGAAGAAGGAAGGCAGCAGTGCGGCCGGCATCCTCGCAAAGGAAATAGCAATATACCAATTGCCAAACATTCCATATGTGGCATGTCGCAAAACGGCGGCGTTGGGGAGCGGAAAGGAGAGTAGAGGAGAGGTGGGCAAGAGTCGTAGCAGGAGGAGGAGGATAGGGAGGGAGCGAGAGAGGTGGGAGAGGAGGAGGAGGAGGGGGAGGAGGAGGAGAGACGACGATCTGAAGCGGTTGAGCGAACAAACAACACATGGAGGGACCGCCAGACACCGAGATTATCCCATACAATTGAGGGGCCATGAATGCCAGCTATCTATCTGTGCCTGCTGCTGGTTGGTCAATCCCACTGTTTCTTCCGTTTACGTCCTGAACCTATTATGACTGTCCGCGGTCGATTTAGGAGGAAATCGACTCGTCTTGCACTCATGAAATCGAGTCTTATTATTATTACTATACTTACACCACCGGATGATTTCTTTGTTTCCATATTCGCACTATTTGTACTGCCCAACACATGAATAATGGGGGAGAGGGAAGGAATACATGAATTTTTTTTCCTTTGATCTTTCCTCTCCGAGTTCTGTCGAGCACAATACTTCAGTTTTTTTCCCCTTTGATCTTGCGTTTCTTTCGAGGAGGTGGGAGGTGGGAGAGAGGAGGTGTTGGGGGAGATAGAGAGGGCTGGGGGATAGGGATTGACTGTGAGCTGTTTACGTCTTTTTGCGGTTTCGGTTTGAGCAGACTATGCCCCTCTCTGCCCGTCGTTGGATGAGATATTTCTCTCTGCTTTCAGTTTTGTGATCGGATTTCTCCCCCCCCCCCCCCGGCCTCCTCCGTATTTACCCTGGACGATGACGTTTGATGTACTCGTGGGCGTTTGATTGGGTGTGGGCGCTTGATTGGTTGGGGATTCAATCAATAGTACTATTCTCTATTCTTTTGTCGTATCTGATGGTTATTGCCTGCCTTGCCACCCTGGCATCTGCGTTTGATATCTGATGTGATATCACTTGTTTTGTAGATGGTACTGTTTCTTTTGTTTTTGTCCGATGGCTGTTGTCTGACTGAATATATAGATATATAATATATGTGATAATAGTCTCTTTTGCTGCCTACACTTTTCGAATGCCACGTCACCAAGTCGTTCCTCTTGTGTACCGATTGTTTGGTTCTTTGTTGTTCTTTTTATTCCTTTCAGTTTGGTTCGTTCTTATAATAATTCTTCCCTCTTTCATATTTCCAAATGCCCAATGATGATATTTCGCTCCCTCGATTAGCACTGTAGGCAGGTAACGAAGACGAAGGGTGAGGAAGACTGAACTGGAATCTGAAGGGAAACAACAGCCAGAGAGGAGGAATGCGGACGGAATGGGGGGATGGTGTGCGAGGGGCGGACCATGTCTACCTCTTCGTGAGAGTGAGTCTGAAAACAGTGCCATACGTAATCGCTGCGCCCTCAGACCAATATGATGGCGATTAGTGCTCACTGATCCGTTGTCTGACACTTGGAAAATGTAGGCGAAAATGTAGTGGGAAATGCACTAGAATCTAGTGGAAATGCACTAGAAAATCTAGTGGAAATGTAGTGGAAATGTAGGCTTAGGCAACATACACACACAGAGGGGGTTGAAAATCCGACAGAACTCTGGCGTTAGAGCCGCAGCTTCACAGTACATTGCGCAGCACCGTATACGCCGAGATTTCGATCGTAGTGTGTGTGTGTGTGTGTGTGTGTGTGTGTGTGTGTGTGTGTGTGGACAAGCCACGTGAACCCAGGCGGTCAAATTTCTAATGCACTGTTATTCAGCGGGAATAAGTTTTTATACGTATTATGCATTGGACACTTGGAAAAGCCGATGGAACGGGGGGAGGTAAATGGATACTGGAAGAGGGAGTAAGGTTCCAGTGACGAGTGGGAAAGCTGAAAAGCTTGCTCGCTTGCCTGTCTGTCTGTCTGTCTGTCTGTCTCTCTGTCTGCCTGCCTGCCTGCCTTCGTCCTTGCTTGCCGTGCTGGCGGGATTGCTTGGTTAAATTTGCTTTCGATTTGTGTTGCCTTGCGCCTTGTGGCCTTGCTTCCTGCTCTCTGTTTGCACGATGATACGTTACCGATCTGTTCCACGTAATCTCGAGTGTCGTCTCTATCCCTTGGCCTGCTTTTCCCACCTCTTCCCCCCTCCCCTCCCCCTACTCGTCATTGCTCTCCATGTTTGTTGCCGTCCAACCTCTGGAATTGGGGTGCACTCTCTCTTCCGAGCCTACTCGCTTCTTGGCCACAGTTTAGTACCCGCCGCTGTCGTTGATGCGTGTCCTGCCTCTGCTGCTCTGTTGCTGTTTATGTAGGGACCTCTGGTTGCTACTCCCGGTGCCGCCGTGCTCCGAGGAGGCACAAACACAAGTTGTGTTGTGTCCATCTGTCTCTTTCCACTTCTCTCTATCTCTCTGTGTCTCGTTCCGTTCTAGTTTTTGGGTTCCTGTCCTCTTCAATCGTCGTACTCCCCTGCCAGCAATCCCTTACTCGTTCTCCTACTCCTTTCCCCGTCCCTCGTCCCATCTCTTTTCCTCTTTCCCCCCCTCTGCCTCTGGTTTGCCTGGCTCCTTCTGTGTATATAATCTTCTTTCTCCTCTCCTTGTTCCGCCCTCCTCCCTCTCTGCTTGTCCACCTTAGACCCGCTCTCTCTCTCTCTGGGTCCTCTGCCTCCCTTTCGTCTTTCCCGTTCTCTCTTCCGTCTTCGATCTACTCCATGACTGTTTCATTTCTCGTTATGTTCTTCATACCTGGCCGTCCGTCGTTCAATTGCTTTTTYCCCCTTCMCCYYCCCCCCSCCCCCCCCCCCCCCCTCCCTCTCTCTTTTCCCCCTCCCTTCCCCACCCCGAGCCCTCCCTCTATGTTTAGTCTTTTCGGAAATTGATATTGGGACGTGCAAACTCGTGGCTTCCTTGACTGGTTTTGGATTTCCGGCGCCGATTCAGGTGTGTGAATGATTGACCAATCATCGATGAGCGCCAGGCTGGAGGTATGTACCGTAAGGCCATCGGTCGAGAGAAGTCCATAGTTTAAGGATTGTTGAACCTTGTTCGAGAGGTGGTCGTTGATCTTTGGACATTCCTTTGCAGAGACGGACAACCGTGTCTCTAGACCTCGTGGTCGACTGACAGTCTCCGTTTAGTCAAAGGGGAGGAACGCGCTGTCAACAGCAACTCCAACCCACCTCCAATCACTCTCCCGCCGCCTATCCCACTGGTATTCTCGTATTTGCAGTCTCTCGCTTCTTCAATTGCAGAAAAATGACGTCAATGTTTCTCCTGATGTATTGTGTGTGTGTGGGATTCCGTTCCTCTTCCGCCATCAAGTTACTATTTATTGTGAACGGAGAAGGAAACAGAAAACCACAAGTCACACGATGAGGAGAGAAACGAAGAGAGGCCGTCGTCGTTTCCAACCCTCTTGGCTTCCTCTTTGCAATCGATGTATGGGTCTCTAGTGATCTGTGTGTGTGTGTGTGTGTGTGTGTGTCTGTGTGTGTGTGTTCACTTACAATTGCATTGTTTTGCTTGCCAGGAAGTAACGGCGTGAATTCCGATGGAGTCAACGGAAAAGTTTCGGTCCTGAAGAAGAGGAGGGAGAGGAAGGGTAGCAGTTGTGCTGCGACGCTCTGTCGTGCGGTTCTTCAGAACAAATCTCGAGGAGCGGTGTCTCCAGCGAGGACGGTGACCCTTGAAGGGGTCAGCGATTGTGGTGTTGAGAACGTGTCCCTTCCTCCTCCGGCTATAGCTCTGGACGCGAAATTGGAACGGAGGCAGGAGGAAGCGGAGCAGGAGCAGGAGGTGGTTGTGGTGGTTGAAAAAAATGATGCCTTCGCCTCTGAGGGGAATGGGACGAAGGGTGGTGGCAACGATGTCACGACGGCGGATTCGTCATCGGAACCGGAGTCAGAACCAAGGGCTCATCCCGTTGAAGATGTCAATTACGCGTCAGATGCCACGACGGTCTGTGATGTCCCTTACAACATGGAGGAGACGGACGCTAATCCGAATAAGCAGTCCACAGGTGAGTACCCTCTCTCCTTTTCAGCGCTTTTATTTGTCTTACCGGAAATCCCCTCTCTCCTTCTCGCAGCACCACTAATAGTTTGTTGCATCCTACCTTTTCCGCTTCTCTTTCTCTATAATTCTGTACATCCTCCTTCCCTCCCCCCCAACGCCCCCCCCACCCCCTCCCCCCCTTCCCTCTTTTCATTCGCACCTCTGTGTATGAACCCTTCTTTCTTCCCCCTTCCTCTGCTCCCCCTCGTTCTGTTTCCTTATGTTCCTTTCTTTCCCACTCTCTGAAAGTTTGTCGTTTAGTAGGCAGCCAATTCGTCAGTACAAGTGCCGTTGTAGTCATCTGGTCTTTTTTTTTTTTTTTTTTTTTAAGTACTCTGCATAATTACGTACGACGGTGCTACTGTGCGGTTCGTCCGTCTTTCCGTACATGTGTGATGCTAAGAAGACTTGGACACGCAATTCCCTTCCCACGCCTCGCCCGTTGACCTCGAATACGCAATTCCCTGAGAGCCTTCCGCCTCTATTTTGCGAGTCAGAAGTGTTAGGTACCAAACGAAGATTGCTCGTGAATGATGGAACGTAACATTTTGCAGAGATCGATCATATTCATGGAACGTAGATCGGCGCCACGAGGCTCTCGAATGCTGGAGATCGATCATATTCATGGAACGTAGATCGGCGCCACGA